CCATTTCTAATAATCTATATATCACCAAGAGGTTGTGGCTTACCAGGAAAGGTTCTAACCAGCGTCTGTCTCAAGCAGGAGAATCATGTGACTCTGCTCTTCTTCCCAGCATCCAGTTCTATATACTCCACCCACTTAAGGGCTGCCCTATCAAAAGGCCAAGTTAGTCTCTTTATTCAACCAATGAGAGCAACACACAAACAGAAAAACCTCCTACACCAAGCATATAGAAGAATGCAAATATTCATATCTGTTACCTTGCACAAAATTCAAGTTCAAGTGGATCAAAGACCTCAACATAATTCCAAATACACTGAACCTGATAGAAGAGAAAGTGGGGAATAGCCTTGAACAAATTGGCACAGAAGACAACTTCCTGAGTAGAACACCAATAGCCCAGACACTAAGATAGACAATTAAGTGGAATCTCATAAAACTTAAAAGCTTCCGTAAGGCAAAGGACACAGTCAAATGGACAAAATATCAGCCTACAGAATGGGAAAATATCTTCACCATCCCTACCTCTGACAGAGGCCTGATTTCCAAAATATATAAAGAATTCACGAAACTAGACATCGAAAACAAAAACAAATAATCCAATTACAAGTTGGGGTACAGATCTAAACAGAATTCTCAACAGAAGAGTCTCACACTGCTGAGAAACATTTAAATGTTCAAAACCCTTAGCCATGGGGAAATGCAAATTAAACAACTCTGAGATTACACCTTACACCTGTCAAAATGGGTAAAACCAAAACCACAAGAGACAGCTCAGGCTGGAGAGGACATGGAGCAAGTGAGCCACTCCTCCATTGCTGGTGGGAGTATGAACTTATAAAGGCGTTTTCTCGGAAAATTGGGAATTAATCTATCCTAAACACGTTTTTCTAAAGGCACAAATATTCTGGCACAAGAAGGCAGGAGAGACAACGGTAAAAGGAGCAGCTCAAACATGTAGGATGGAGAATAAACAGTTTGCCAGTATTTCATTGAGTATATTTGCATCAATGTTCATGAGGGAGATTGGTCTGTAAATCTCTTTCTTAGCTGTGTCTTTGTGTGGTTTGGATTTCACGGTAACTGTAGCCTCATAAAAAGAGTTTGGTAGTGTTTCTTCTGCTTCTATTGTATAGAACAATTTAAGGAGTATCATTACATATCAGCTCTTCTTTGAAATTATGGTAGAATTCTGCAATGAAGCCATTTAGTCCTGAAGCCCCCACATTTTCAGTTTGAATATCAATGAGTTGTTATACTAGAAGCATCTTTCTACATGTGACGACTTTTCTTTGTAAGTTCTTTCGCATGTTCTTAGTTCAGTCTATGAAAACCCACATAACAAAGTATGGGAATGCTGGCCCAAATAGTAATTCTTGCTCTCTGTTAGGCTTTAGGTAGGGACTATCCCCTTAACGACTTGTGTGTTGAAGGCTTCATCCCCAGATGCGAGATCCAAACATTAAGAGCTGACAAATCATGAGAACTCTCCTATCCAAATAATCAAAGAATAAATTCGCCAATGGATTCTTAATATGGTAACATTGTTAGGAAGAAACAGGAATTTTCTCAAGTGGGGTCTAGCTGAAGGAAAGATGTACCATTAGGGGACACTTTTTGTATTTTGTCCCGATACCACAGTCCTCTTATTTCCTTTCTCTCTTCCCCCTCAGCCCTCTCCTCTCCTTTCTCCCTGCTCTCTCCTCTTTACTTACTCTCTCCTTCCTGCCCATCACAACACGAGCAATCCCGCACTATATATATATATATATATATATATATATATATATATATATATACAGAATATATAGTCTGAATGCCAACCTGGGGTCAAGCACTCTTGCATTGCTGCTGGGATCTTGGAACAACCAGATGTGATCTGTGCCGTACCCTTGTTTTGTAAAGGAAGAATGTTAATGTAGGTTAAGTAACCATTCAGGGTTACACTGCATGTCAGTAAACTGCGTGCCTATTATAAAGAACCAGCAGGTGGTGGGCATTGGACCAAGTGACAGGAAACTTAAAATGGCAAGGAGACACAGTGGTTAGCAGTAAGACAAAATTGGGGAACATCTTCATTCTCTGCCGTAGCAGCACCAGAAACTGGACGAGAGTGAGAGGAAAGCTTCCCTTCCAGCCCAGAATCCAGCTGACCTCAACTGCCCACCCAGCCAGAGGACTGGCAGTGCAGGAGCCCAACTCAACCCTCCAGAAGAAAAAAAAAAGTAAATAAATCATTGCTATTTTAAGTCACTTTCAATTTAAGGCAGTTTATTGTGCAACTGAAGCTAACTGAAGCTCTGGTTTTGTGGCCTGGAACAAATTACTCAATGTCACCGAATCTTAGTTTTTCCAGAGAGCCTCCCTGTTGTGTGGTTGTGAGGAGTAAATGAAACCCCCCATGCAGACTGTGTAGTCTCCAGACTGCAGACTTCGTTTCCTGTCATACATTATGCATGGAGGTATTTCCTACACACTTAACTCTTCACGGAGAAAAAAAATGATTAGTGGAAAAAATGATTCTTTAAGACCATATTCAGAACCTTGAACGGTTATGGTTCTCACAGTGAACCATAACCCAGATTCCTAGAGACACAGATATTACCAAGCCAAGAAGCTATTGGGTGCCATAGATTCTGCTTTTCTACTTGACATCCTAATGATACAAAAGGCCAGATTTGAATTTGGGGGAGTTCTGCATCTCAATGTAGCAACCTGAAAAAGTGTTTTTCTGCCCCTCCTCTGCAACTTCGTCCTCTCTTCCTGAAAACCTAAAGGTCAGTCTAGTAGCACAGAAACAGAGTTTGATCCTGTCACTAGCCACCTCTTGGATTTAGGGACAGAACGGCAAGAAGCAATGTTGTCAGCCTATGGAGATATACTCATCTATGTATATCTTTGTATATCTATACTCATCTATGTATACTCAGCTTGTCTCCTTGCATGTGGACCCTTGAAGTAGACCTTGTGGCTTATCTGGAAGGAATTTATGATCCTAGATTGAGGAACAGTGGGCTTAGGAGTAAGGTGTTCAATGGTAACTGTATTGGAGGTGGTTGCAGTCAAGGGCTTAAGCAGAGAGGCTTCTGCCATGAAGCTTTGGACAAGAGTCACTTGGTTTTAAGTCCAAGCTGCTAATAAAGAGATACCTGTGCCAAAGATGAAGTCAATCAGGTGAAAGTCAAATTAAGTTTTGTAGTAAATAAAGACTTAATCACACATAATATTTACAAGCATTTTGTACCAAAAACCCTACTACAGTTTATCTTTGGAGTGATGAGCTTTGCAACATTTGAATGTATTAAATGTATTTCACAATCATTTGGTTTTGTTAATGTTGAATACTGTTTCCATATTAATTTTTGTTTCTGTTCTCCCGAGTTAACATACATTTGCTAGAGGAAAACAAAATTACAATAATATTCATGAAAAGTAATTAAAAATATGACTAACAGTGATCAATGACCAACACTGATTTTTCACCTTTGTAGTATTTAATTACTTTGAATTTTATTTTCAGGTTAATCACTATGTGGCTTCTTGCTGGCAACATTACCATGGAGGGTGCAATGAGCACAACATGAAATTAAATCAAATTGAGAGAAAATGCTGCAATAAATTCTGTGATCCTGAGGAGTAAAGGAGCAGAAGCTGTTAAAGGACCTATATTATGACAAATAAGGGCTTGGAAGTGGGGCTCAGTCTTCAAGGTGCTCGCTGGGTAAGCACAAAGAGTTTGATCTTTGGCACCTGTGTAAAAATCTCTGTTAGTTCAAGCCCATCCTGGTCTATAGTTCAAGTCCCAGAGCAGCCAGGGATACATAGCAAAACCCTGTCACAAAAAGGATGGAGGATGATGAAGTTGGGGGGGGGGGAACAGCATCACCTATAATCCCAGTACTGGTGTGGGGGATTACTGAGGTTTTCTGGTGAACTCGTGTATCCAAATAGAATCAGTGAGCTCCAGGTTCAATGAGATAACCTTCTCAAAGATGAAGAGTGAGGGAGACACCTACCATAAAGCTCTGGCCTATACACACACACACACACACACACACACACATATGTATGGCATACATAGTCACACATTTAGCTATAAAAACATACATACATGCTGGTACACATACATACACACAGAGATACAAACACACACATGCTGGCACACAAACACACACACACACGCACACACACACACACACACACACACACACACATACACACACTGACAAATGCCCATATAAAGTATAATGGCTCGGGTCAGAGACCTGCTGCAGGATAGTAGCTGTAATTTGACTTTCCTTTGGGCCACTAGATCGCTCTCAAATAATGACATGGAGATTTGTTATTAATTATGTAAGTTTAGTCTATAGCTTAGGCTTGTTTCTAACTAGCTCTTAAACTTAAATTAATTATGTTCTATCACATGGCATTGCCTCTCTTCCATCTTGCACCTCCTATTTCTTCTCTGTGTTTCCCGGCATCTCCTGTGCCCCTCGATTCTCCTCCACTTGCTTTCTTTTCCCAGAAATCCTGCCCATACCTCATGCTTAGCTATTGGCCACTCAGCTTTTTATTATAGCAATCACAGCAAATACATCTTCATACAAGTATCCCTCTAAACCTCAAGACAATTATGGCCAAAGCAAAAGTATTGTTTACAATACTGAAAGAATGCTGAACCCAACAGTGGTGTTGATGTCTAGGTGGCTTAAATAATCCATTTTCCACTTCATAATGTGAAAATGGGTGGTGAGTCTTTTGAAAATTTGGGGGTAGTCTTGGTCATGAAAGAAATTAATTTTTAGAGCAGATCTTCCATAGAATAAACCTTTTCTAATCTGGAAACTGAGGTCTGAAAGAGCTTTCCATAGAAAGGATAACACGATGCAAGGGTTCAAGGCTCTCATAGGCAAGAAAACTATCTAATTAATTAAGAAAACTATCTAATTGGCTGCCCACTCCAGACTCCTCGTGCGGCGCTTAGCCCCCCGCCCTCTCTGACCATGGCCACACTGAGGGTCCATCCTGAAGCCCAAGCCAAGGTGGATGTGTTCCACAAAGACCTGTGTAGCAAGACAGAAAACCTGCTTGGGAGCTATTTTCCCAAGAAGATCACAGAGCTGGATGCATTCTTAAAGGAGCCAGATCTCAATGAAGCCAACCTGAGCAGTCTGAAGGCTCCACTGGACATCCCCATACCTGATCCAGTCAAGGAGAAAGAGAAGGAGGAGCGGAAGAAACAACAGGAGAAGGAAGAGAAGGATGAGAAGAAGAAGGGGGAAGATGAAGAAAAAGGTCCTCCCTGTGGCCCAGTCAACTGCAATGAGAAGATTGTGGTCCTCCTGCAGCGCCTAAAGCCTGAGATCAAGGATGTCACTGAGCAACTCAATCTGGTCACTACCTGGCTGCAACTACAGATACCTCGGATAGAGGATGGGAATAACTTTGGGGTGGCTGTCCAGGAGAAGGTGTTTGAGCTGATGACCGGCCTTCACACCAAGCTGGAGGGCTTCCACACTCAAATCTCTAAGTACTTTTCAGAGAGGGGTGACGCAGTGGCCAAAGCAGCCAAACAGCCTCACGTGGGTGATTATTGGCAGCTGGTGCATGAGCTGGACAAGGCAGAGTACCAGGACATCCGGCTGATGGTCATGGAGATCCGTAATGCTTATGCTGTGTTATACGACATCATCCTGAAGAACTTCGAGAAGCTCAAGAAGCCCTGTGGAGAAACAAAGGGAATGATCTATTGAGCCCCCTCTCTCATTCCGTGATGGGGTACAATAGAGACCTTCCTGCTCTTCACCGGGAATTATAGACTGTACCCAATCTTCTTCCTGCTGGGGTTTCCCCACTCTGACTCCCAAACACAATAAATATATGGTTGCCCCCCCCCCCCAAAAAAAGAAAACTATCTAATTAAGGCCAGTGGTACAGCAACACATTGAAGATCTTTGTGTGCAGTGAGGATCCCAAAGCCTTTGAGCTTCTAGAGAAGTACTGAGGTCTGGGCACAGTGGCACTCATCGGCACTCATCCCAGTGTTCTGGAGGCCGAGGCAGATTCACCTCTGTGAGTTCAAGCCCATCCTGGTCTATATTTCAAGTCCCAGAGCAGCCAGGGATACATAGCAAAACCCTGTCACAAAAAGGATGGAGGAAGATGAAGTGTGTGTGTGTGGGGGGGGGGGAAACAACAGAAGAAGAGGAAGCAACAACAGAAGATGACAAATGGCCATTATAATGACATGGTATGTGTCACACAGGAGAAAGAGAAGTCATGGAGGACACTGCTACTAATTCAGGGCATCCTTCTTAACTGTTCTTCTGGGGAGATGGAGTATACTGCTTGGAAAATAGCCTGCTTTTCCAATAGAAATGGTCAATACTGGTCCTGCACATCACCCTTTCGGTGGTCTGCACATCAATATTGAAGGGGTGTTTTACCCTCCAAACACCACCCTTTAGACCCAGTGTGGAGTTTAGTCTTGAGTGAAAACTGGAGTGCATTAACAAGAGTCTAAGAGTGATAAATCATACTTATGAGTGTCTGTGGGCCCATATCCAGAGTTTAGGCAGCTACAGAGGATTGAGAGAAACTTCAGGAGAATTCATGGGCAATCACCAAATAGTAGTATACTCTTAAGTAGATGCATGAAGCTCCCCAAAAGGTGTGCATACAGGAGCCCAGCCCTGGCAGGGTTTCATCAATAAAGAGTAATTCCAACAGCACATGATTTACTCACAAGCAAATTATGATAACTGTGAGAAGAAACCAAAGGAATTGTGCGCATAGATTTCAGAAAAGTGGGAGAGCCCTTTAAGAGTTAAGCCCTCAGGAGGGATCAAGAAGATGATGTCATAGGTGGTGAGAGGTCCATGTGCATTATCATCCTGCAGACTTTCTCACGGTACAAGAGAGCAGAAGGGAAGACAGTGGTATAGATGAGTCCAACGCTCTGTGTGTGTGTGTGTGTGTGTGTGTGTGTGTGTGTGTCTGACTGTCTGTCTGTCTGTCTCTGTCTCTCTGCTCCTCCGTCTCCCTCCCCACCCCACCCCCACATGATAACATGCATCCCAGCCAGGCTGACCTTGAACTTGATATATATATATATATATATATATATATATATATATATATCAGGATAGCATTGAACTCCCGATCCTGTTGCTTCTACCTGTTGAGTGCAGGGATTTCTGGGTAGGTATGCCACTGTGCCTGCATTATACAGTGCTGGAAATCAGACTCAGGGCTTCGTACAAGACAAGCACTCTACCACTTAGCTGAGCTAAATTTCTAGCCCATGTGTCTTGGTTTTTAATACAAAAAACTTAATGAGAAAAAAATTAAAAATATAGAGAAACACTTATAAAATTAAGATACCCAAAGAAAGTATTTTTCATAGCTATTTGTTTGCATTTTATACAATGTTTTTACAAAAGAATCACAGGTTTTAAAAGTTTAAAAAAGTTATAAAATAAAAGTTACAGTATGTTAATACTATAATGTAATAAAGTATAATCATACCATGATTATAAGGTGGTGCTGTGCGCAGACATGTCCCAGGTCCTCATCTACATTCACACGCACTCACTGACACACCCAGAGCTTATTTGACATGTCATCTTGTATTTCTGTATGCCGTATTTACTGTATGTCTTCAGTATTTGTATATGTTTAATGCCCCATGTACTTAGCATAGTAGTAGATTGTCTACAATGCTCCGGTCTAATGATGTTCTGTGTAGATTTTAGCTTAGGAGCTACAAATTATAGCCTGGGCTGTATCATGAGCTTGAGTATCAAGTAGACTGGGCCACCTAACTTTTGGCAAGTATACACTGGTGTCTACACAGTGGCGAAACAGCTTGATGACAGTTCTCAGGATGTGCTGCCAAGACTAACTGATGCACGATTGTAATTCAAACTCAGTGACAAAGGAGTAATGTTTCCTGTGACAGTTTTGTTGACTGGTTGAGTTCGGCCTTTTGAAGTTAATGCTCAAACCTCTTCTTAAAAAACTGTTTGGGACATGTTATATTTGACTATATTTTAGCTCGTTGGATGTCGGGTTCTGTGCTAAACACTTTTTAAAAGTGGGGGAAAGAAATTGGTTTCTTTAATAGTCTCTGGAATTTGCAATTCAGTTAAGAACAAAGGTGAAGAACACACAAATATTGCTCTCAGACACACTGTGACCAGAGAGCAGGGAACCAGTACTCTTCTGAAGAAACACAACGTCATCAGTGCAGACACGAAGAGCACTGACAGGAGAAGGTGGCAGAAGAGGTGGCAGTTCACGCCAAGAGCTTTGTCATGTGTGGGAGTGATGAATGATCAACCAGACATGTCTGGGTGGGCCTTCAAGCTGAGGAGGCTAATGTCACTCAGGATGAACAGACTGGGAACTATGTTCCCTAACTATAAACAACAATGGAACCAGCTTTCCAGGGTTGGGTGTTCTAAAGGCCAGAAATCCAAAATCAAAGAGTCAGCGAAGACCTGTTCTCTCTGATACCAGCAGGGAAGGAGCCACCTTGTTGCTTCCAGCTTCCTATGGCCCTAGGGATCCCTTGACTTGTGACAACCTCATTCAGATCTCTCACTCATTTTTCAGGGACTATCTCTCTTTCTTTCTCTGTCTCTCTGTCTCTCTGACTCTCTCTCTCTCTCGGTCTCTCTCTCTGTCTCTCTCTCTCTCTCTCTCTGTGTGTGTGTGTGTGTGTGTGTGTGTGTGTGTGTGTGTCTGCGTCTGTGTCTCCGTTTTCCCTTCTGATAAAGACTCCAGTCGTAAAATGACCCCGTTTTAACTTGGCTGCTTCTGCAAAAATCTCTAGTGCTGAGTGGCTCCTTCTGAGGTCCTGGAGCTTACACTTCAGCACACACATCTTGTGGGACACAATCCAGCCCACCACATTAGGAAAGAAAACACCAGAGTCAATCATATTTTAAGGACTTTAGATGGAAGTGTTGGTTTTTGTGCTGTTTTGCTGTAAATTACTGTCAAGTTGATGCTTCAAAATAATACACATGTATTCTCTTATATTTCTTAGGTCAGAAGTTAGAACGTCTTCGTTATTAGAATAGCTATGTTCTTTCCAGGGGCTCAAGGAAGGATGTGCCTCTGCTGCTTCCACCTTCTAGAAGCTTCCCACAATATCTGGTTCTTCATGATGGCTACCTGAACACTCTAACATAACTACACCATCTCTTTAATTTAATTCTATCTTCAAATTTGTCAGGAAAGGTGGAACATTTATAGATTTCAGGTCCCAAGACCTGGACAATTCAAAGGAGCGATTGAGTCACAGTGCAAGGTAGCCTAGAAATGGCAGTATTGAAGGACTCTGTGACATTTGAATAAGATAAATTATTTTGCTCATTATGAGCAAAACATGATTATTTATAGAAATGTGGACATATACAAAAAGATAAGCATTCACATTATAACTTCTCAGAGATAACCTAAATTATAAAGTTTGTCCTTACAACAAATGTATGTATCAACCAATTAGAATTATATTACATGGAGTTGTTTGTCCTGTCTTATCGTGTACCAATTCTTTCCATAAGTTCCAGTTGAAAGTCATAATTTTAATAGCAGCATGATGTTCAGTTGTTGGGGTGTATGATGATTTACTCTGTCATTTTCCAGCACTTGGTCCTTGTGATACTTCCTGATGGTTATCACTAAGAAGCGTGCTCATGTAAAAACCTGGAAAGCTGAACTTCTAAGGCACAGAGTGTAGAAAAGTTTTTCTGTGCTTGAAGAGGACAACTATGTTGACCTAGATGGGATGGGGAAGGGACTGCGGGAAAGCTGGGTAGGAAGGCTGCAATAGTATAAGTGTGGGCAGTGGTGTTCTGGAAATTCCGTAAGAAACACCACAAAGCAGGTGGCTGAAAACCATAGCAACTCCCTCAGCTCCCTGGGAAGAAATGTCTGAAGGAGAAGCCTTCTGCCTCTTTCACCGCCCCCTACATAGCCTGGACATCCTTTGGCAGCTGTCCCTGGCATGGACTCTGTGCTTTGGTTGTTGTCTAGTCTTTCTTTGCTTGCCTCTAGATATATTCCTTTGTTCCTGTGAAGACACCAGTCATTGCATTTGAGCCTTATACTATTCCAGTATGACTTCATCTTTAACAATTTTACCTACAAATACCTTTTTGCACATAAGATCCTATCACGAATTTTGGGTATTTATGAATTTTAGACAGACTTTTTTTTTTAAGCCGGCAAAAAGAAAATGTGGGAAAGAAAATACAGCTTAAAGATTTTAGATGGTTTGAGGAAATCTAGGGTGGGCTGACTGTGGCATAGACAAAAAAGAATCAAGTCTGTCTGCTCCCATTAAATAATGCCTTGTCTCTCGGCATTCATTCTTCAATGGACTGTTGCTTCTGGAGAGACATACGTGCTAACTCTCCTGAGTAATTGTGTCTAGAAACCAGACTGCAGAGGGGAAGGTCACCTTTAGGTGGGCCTCCAGTCAGCTGTGTAGGTACAGTTGGCAGAAATGTGGAAAAGGATGGTTTTAATGTTGGATTTTTTTCACTCAGAGACCAACGGGGTCCTTTTCCATACTATCCAGTAATATTTTCTTGTATTGCTGAAGAATCTTTCCAAAGTGTTCCATGGTAATAGTTCCAAGATATTTCTCCCCAAGTGTCCATAACAATAATTAGCTCAGTAGTTAAAGAACCAAACTATGTGACTTAAGGGGGAGGAAGCTAATGGTGCATGTGATGGCCTTAGCTTTTCCTTGTGTTGCATACACTTAAAAGAAGACAGAGATACAGGCTAGCAAAGGCCTCA